CCCAACATTTTCTCCCTCTCCTCATCTTCTCTCCTCTCTCGTACCATGGCCACTAGTTGCCGTATATAGGAGGGAGCCAGAAACGCTCTCGGCGCCCAATCAGCAGCAAGAAGGAAATAGTAGTAACGAGAAGAATTTAGGACAAGGGCAATTGGGGCTGTGAACATGCCAAACCAAATAGTTGGTGGGCACATTACACGGAAAGGAAGGCGGTTGAGCTTGCTCAATAATAGTTGGTGTTGTAGAGGCATGTCGTTCCTTAGGGGTTATGCATAGAGACTTGAAACCAGAGAATTTCATTTTTGTTAACGAGCAAGAGGAGTCACCACTCAAAACCATTGACTTTGGCCTCTCATGTTCTTCAAGCCAGGTACCCATATACATTAGCATTTATTTGATTATATTGAACATGATCAAAGAAATGTAACTTAGAAGTATTCACAGTGAAGCGTTTTTCAGAACTTGGACTTTGATCCTATGTGCTTGTCCATTTGTATGAATTAGAATTACTGAAGAGACAAAAGTTGCAGAAAGTATGAAGCTTTTTTAAGTTTAACTCTCATTGAAAACTGTGATTATGTCTATGTAGTTTGAGGGTTATCTAGTTTGAAGTCGCCGGCGATAATGGCCGGCGGTGTGGAGAGAGAATGGATGGAGGTTGGAGGGAGGCGACGAGTTGTAGAGAGAGAATGGAGGAAGAGAATTAGGGTCTGTGATGTTGGGTGAAATTAAATTAGTATTTTGGACTAATTTGTACTTTTTAAAAAGTTTAGGTGCAGATTGCAATTTATTTTTTATTTTTCTTTTCTTTTCTTTTTTGTTTTATTTATATATGAGGGTATAATGGTCATTTTATGTTAAAAATTGGTGTAAATGACGTTTTGCGCAAGAAAATGCAAAGATAGGGACGTTCTGCACCAAAAAATCAAACGTATGGACGTTTTCCACAGAACTCGTCATAGGTATGGATGTTTTGCGCCAATTACCCTTACATTTATTCATTTACTTTTATGACCCTGTACATCTCTTCTTTATCCTTTGGCCTCTGAATTCTTTAACGAACTGATTTGACTACATCAACTTTCTTGTCACATTACAACTATTTCTTCTGTATGTATTTTGTTCTTTTCTATACAATAGTAAACTATTCTCTTCCCGATTCAACGTCGGTGTTCAAACATACAGTTTCCTTCCATATAGCATTCCCCTATCTGGGTATAATGGTCATTTTATGTTAAAAATGGATAAAAATGATGTTTTGCGCAAGAAAATGTAAAGGTAGGGACGTTCTGCACCAAAAAATCAAACGTAGGGACGTTTTCCACAGAACCTATCATAGATAGGGACGTTTTGCGCCAATTACCCTTATATTTTCTTGTTTTTTTGAGTTGGATCTCTAGTCCTTTAAAAAAGCAACAATAAAATTGGTCTAAATTAAAGGCACAAATTATTTGGGTATGGATCTATAATTAAACTATTGCCTATTACTATATTTTGTTGTGTTTTTCTATCTATCAAGATCTACAATAAAAAAAATAAAAAATTAAATAAATCTGCTATAAAATTTCTTGCTAACCTTATAAAATTTCTTTAAAATTTATAAATTAATTTTTAAGAAAATATAAAAATGTAATTTATTCTAAAAGTGCTCATTTTCAAAAGCTATAGAAATATTAAATTTGAATCGATCATGATTGGTGTTAAAGAGACTTGTATGCTTAGTAAAAAATTTATACTTAAGGGTCTCATAACAATTTATTGCCTATGGCCTCATAAATCTCAGGGCCGGCCCTGCTTTGGCTTCCCCATGGATATGCCACTTTAGAAAACCCTCATTTCTACCAAGAAGATTATTATTTTCTCCAACATCACATGATGACAAAGCCGTTCATCGCCAGACAAGGGTTGTGACTACATTGAAGCTGTTGATCTTTGTTGTTTCATTGGGACGACAATTGATCTTTGCCTTCTCCTTCAAGTAAATTATGTCATCAGAGTTTAGCTTGAAGATTTTGAAATGCTCTTGTTCTATAAACACTGGAGGGATTGAGTGTTCACCAACTAGAAGCTTGAGCTTGAGCAATTCGAGGTGTGAGAATGTGACTCATGGTGGAGACTTGGCCGTGAGGAGGCTACGATCATGGTATGGGGTGGTAGCCAAGGGTTTATCATCAAAAGCTTGGAAAGCAAGGTTTTCTACAAAGAGGGATCCAGGATTTTTTTTATAGGGGAACTGAAATTACTTAATAAAATCAATGTAATGATGTTGAATGAACAACAATTCTTTATTTCTTTTCGTTAAAATGTTTAACATATTGGTGCTTAAATATGACAAGACCAAAATACACATCATAGTACATCGTAGTAAATAGAGTCCGCAACTTAAAAAGATGACAACATAGTGATTTGCACCCAAGTAGTTAGCTGGACCAAAAGAGGTAAAACTAAAGAACGCGTACGTTTTATGAGACTTTGTGTGTTGATATCTGAATCCATTTTGTAGTACATGTGACATGAAGAGATTTCATCAAAAAACCCAACAACAGCAAAAAGAACATATCACGATAACTATTTTTAGTACCCAGAATTAGCAAAATTACCAGTAACACTTGTGCCTAAAAAACTCTCTATACACTATCAATCACTACCACCATTCTCAAAATGCGCACACTAACTCATAATTCATTCAACAATGATTGGTATACAATCATTAGGAGATTGTAATTTTTACAATCTCTCACATTAGGGTGGTACCCGCTAATTAATTAATTAGCGGCCCCACACTAATGTGAGATATTATAATTTTTACAAGAGTAATGCTAGGGGTACATCACCATTCACACAATGGTTCACATAATTACACGTGGCAGTTGATCCAACCTTTAATTCACATTTTATACTTACACATCAACAAGTGAATGACTGCCACATCTACACTATGTGAACCATTATGTCATAGGTAATGTACCTCTAGCATTTTTCTTTTTACAATCCCTTAATGATTGTACAAATAGATTTTTCCTAATTCATTTCAAATCAAACAATTATGCATCAATTAGGTACTAGCGAAACTAGACTTAATCCAAATTTCTGATATTAGTTACTAAATGGGAATAACCAACACCATGGAGTGCATTAAACCAATTAGAATTACAAATTACATTCAAATTTCAATATAATCCTATTCACAGTCATTCAAATTTTAATATAATCCTAACCCATCCAATATTTCAGCAATAAATCTTAATCCAATTCTGTGATTCCCTATCAAAATCTGAAAATAATTCACACCCAGCACACGAGAGTGACGTCACAAAACCCTCCGGCTCCACGGTTCACCCCAAATCAGATTCTTCATCACAAAATATTTAAAAATATATAGAATTATGAATTAAGCAAAATAAACAAGCATGGAAAAAAAAAAAAAAATTTAACCTACAAATTGGATTTGGGCTGGAACTGGACCGGACCACAGCCCGATCCAGTCCCCCCAAATCCGTCTCTAGTTTTCTAAGAAGATTTTTTAGCTCATTCTATCAAACAAAATAAAAATTGGGGAACTTACAAAAGTATCCTTAAAATTAGGGATGTTTCGAAAAATCATATGAAAAGTTTTTTGAAAATAAAAAATATTGTGTAAAATGAAAAAGTGACATAAATTCAAAAATAGTGATAATTTAGAAAATGTGACATAAACACACAAAAAAAAGTGACAAACACTAAAATATCAATATCCATTTATACAACACCAATAATCATATTTTTAACATAATAAGCATGTCCTGGACAATTCACATACTGATTATGTTAGGAAAATATTTTAGAAAAATATAACATATCATGTCACTTTTTATCTTCTTAAAAAAGTGGCAAATATTAAAAAAAGTGATAAAAACTTAAAAGGTAACAAAAACTCAAAATAGTAACAAAATCTAAAAAATAACACAATGTCACCTCCAAAAGTTTAGTGTCACTTTTTTATTTTTTTAAAAAAATGATGTTTGTCACTAAAAAAAAGTATTAGAAATTTCAAAATTGTGATTGATAAAAAAAGTGACGAACATTAAAAAAAAAAGTGATAAAAATTCAAAAAACACCTTACAAAACACACTTTAAAGGGAGTGCTTCGTGGCTACAACAGATCACATGTACACGAAGAGTGGTCTTGCCCACAAACTATGGCTAGAAGTCATGAATGTGGTTAGAATGACAAACATATGGGCTTTGTGTATATACATGAAAAAATAATAATAATAAATACCGTACGATATCACAAGATTAAGCACTTTTCATACGCAGCCTCATTAAACTAACTTCACCAATATGCATAAAATATTGTAGATTGAAGGAAAACTATGAAAATCGACCGTATTAAGTCTTTTTCATGCTAGCAAACGCGGATATAGAAAGACATGAGAACCAGGATTTAAAAAGAGGAAACGACAACCCCAATAGAATATAAGCTGGAAAACAATTGCTACCAATGGGAACAGCCAAGATGCAAATCAGCGCTACGCAACAGGTATGATAAAAAAGAGTCAACAGAAGTAGCCACAGATCTACTGCAGTCCATTTTTCCCAAAGATTTCGTAGACTGTAATCACATAATCACCATGCCTACTTAAAGATTTTGCACCCAAGAAGCTGTCGAATTACCTGAACAGATACCCTTTTAAAACTCCGTCCATCATTCGGCATAAAAGTTAGCCAAATTCACTTAAATCATAGAAGGCCATTTATCAACAAAATATTTCAGTCTGCAATCGGGTAATCACAACGCCAATTAAAATAGAAGATAGTACAGGCCTACTTTTGAAAATGGAGTAACTAACAAACAAATATTGATTTTGCGAGTGTAACCCATGAATTTTTCTGTCTGAAAAATGTAATATTTATGCAACTCTCATCACTCAAACTAAGTAGATGCAATTATTGGATGTTCATAGAGATTAATAAGCTACCATTTGAACTAATGTTAAACCAAAACAACTTTTTAAATACTAAGTGAAAACCTTGACATCAATATCACAACCCCTCTCCTCTGCTTCACATATAAAACCATCCAGATCGTCTGTGGCTGCCAATTCAAGCAAATTTGAGCAATTTCTAAAGGCAACTCTTCCCTTATTCTCTTGAGATTCAGCCTCTATCTCCAAATCAAAATGGCAATTTCTGCTCTTTGAACTGCTGCGCATCAAACCCTGAAAAACGTGAGTTTGAGTGTAAAAGAAAAGCTTTTGTTCTTTGCAACATTGGAAGTAGCAAACAGGGGAAATACACAGTACGGGGGAGTCGAAAGAAATGGCTCCTCCAATGGAGCCAAATCTCAAGTCGAAGAAAGATGAAGGGAACCCCAAGCTCATAATCAGAAGCTTCCAACAAGTACCCAAGCTCGGGTTGAGACTCGCCACCAGATCAACGACTTCCTCCACCTCCAATGAAGATCTTATTTCTTTTTCAAAGCTCTTCATGAACGAGTCCAGATCTTGTCTCGTCGGACAAAAATTCGTCTCGTCATCTGAACTTTTCCGTCACTATATAGATAAGAAATTGGTGAAAAATGGGATGATGCACGGAGAGAAAAATTTGGGTTTTTCTATATTTTGAGGTTTGACACGTAATTAATACGGTAATTATAATTATATTTAGTTTGAGAGTATTAATTAAATATTCAAATTTTTTAGGGCAGTGAGCCTAAGTTCCCCATAAAAATTAACCTATAAATTAGATTTGGGCTGGAACTGGCTAGGACTACAACCTGATCCAGTCCCCCCAAATCCTTCTCTAATTTCCTAAGAAGATTTGTGTGTTTGATGGATATTATTGACAAAAGAATGTATCTTAAATAGTAATATGATGAGAAATATGTGATTAAAAATAAGGAAAAATTATTGATGTGATAGAAAATATTATTTTATTAAAAAATGTGTGGTTGGAAATGAGTTTTCAAAGAACATATTTTGAAAGGATGTGTGTCAAACATGGGCTTAAGCTCATTCGGTCATACAAAACATGATTTATGGATACACTGATACCAAAACAACCACATCTAAAATTGCACGACAAGTAATAAAATCATATGTTAATTATCAAGATTTTTTAGAAGAAAACCAAAATCATAGAGTGACAAATAATTTAGGCAATAGGGGTTATTTTGAGATTCGCCCCTTTAAGATTGTTTTGCAAGAAATATCAAGTAGAACAAATAAATAAAATAAATGTAAATTATAACCATGTACAGAACACAAAAACTTGATGAACTTTAAAAAGAAAAAAAGGAAAGAAAAGAAACCACAAGCCATAAAAAGCAGAGATTTTTACTGTAAAAAAATTGATACGATCCCATTATATCTATAGCACCCAGACCCCCCCCCTCCCCCCCAAAAGTTCATACAAGAACGTTGTCACGCCATAACTCAATAATATCTGGGCTGGGAAATGGGAAGACATTTTTTTCCAATAGCTAGACGGTCCTTATATTTTTCTTGAACCTCTCCCTTTTTCTTTCTTTTAGACCTTGGATAAAGCATGAGGAGGAAAAATCCCAATAAGAAGTCAGTCTGGAAGTCATTAGCATACTTAAATATTCCTATTTCTGTTCATTTCTTGGTTTTACGTCCTTTACGAATTTGATAAGGTGTTTTACATGCTTATGCGGGCTTCTAAACTTGCTTAAAATTGATTATTTGAGTGATTTCTACTTATTTTATAGTGCACATTGCTTTTATCGGAGAAAACCCCGACTTAGATGTGAATTGAGCATAGGTAAGAGAATTGGAACGTTTGGAGCTTAAAGAATCAAGTTGAAGAGCTACCATTAAGTTTGGAATTAAGTGAAAGCTTTGAAAGTGCTAAGTGAATGAATTCAGAAGTTTCGGTACTAAATTTGGCATTTGAAGAGTTTGGAGACCAACTTGAACATTCTTAAAACTTTGGAGAACCAAAATAAATGTTCAAGTTGGTTAAATTGAAAATTGAACATTCTTAATTTCAGAAGTTGGAATCTTAAGGAAGTGGTAGGACCGAAGTTGGTTAAATTGAAAATTGAAGGACTAAATACGTACAAAACCTGGAGATGACAAAAACAGTAGACTGGAGACTAAATCGCACCAAACAAAAGTTCAGGGGCTACAATCGCAGTGCAGCATTTGGCGACCACAGCTGAAGAACCATTAAACATGTTTGGTTATTTGTTGAAGTTGCAGTCTGCCAGTAACAGAAGTCCAACTTTTAGTCTAAATCCAATGGCACTTTGAGTTCTTCATCTATAGAGATTATTTTATTTTGATATTAATAATTCATGTCGTCTGATGTTGTGATCAGGAACCTAATTGATCACCCAGAAATGCGGGAACTAGAAAAATGAAGTTAAGAGTTAATTAAGTCACAAATGTGAGACATTTGTTTAATTAATTAGTCAGATTGTTTATTTGTGGATCAAGATTAATTAAATAATGGGTCTACTTGTGTTTAGTGGATGAGTCAAGTCTAATTAATATCTATGAACAAACAATTAGGACTAGAAATTTTATTACCACATTCATTCTTATTCTTACTAAAATAAGAAAAGAAAAGAAAAATCCTAATCTCTCATTATTGTTCTCTTTGTATGGATTACTATTGAAAGTTAGACGATTGGACATATGTGGTGTGGAGAGATCGAGTTCAAGATTCACAAAGAAGTGGAGAGATCGTGGTAGATCCTGTTCAAAATTCAAAAAAGAGTGAGGAATTCTAATCTCAGTTTATATTTAAACACAAAAACAATCCTTGAAGGAGTCAAAGAAAATTTTAAATTCCATTGCATATGTGTAAATAGATTCCTAACATCATTTGCATATCAAGCTCCCGTTTGGTATACATTTTTTCAAAACTCATTTTCAACTATACATTTTTCAATAAAATAATATTTTTTACCACATCAATAACTTTTCCATACTTTTTAACCACATATTTCCCATCATATCACTATTTAAAATACATTCTTTTCTCAATAATATATATCAAACATATCCTCAAATTCATATGATAACTCCTTGAATACCTTGGGCTCCTCATCAAAGATTGAATTATCAACACCATAACATTGTATGGGAACCAACAAGACGAAAGAATTGGTCTTTCTGTTAAATATATTATTCGATAAATAAAACTTCGTCCCTTGGGTCCTTAACCTATTTGCTTTGTCGTAATTTGGTCGTTAATTTATTTTCTTGGTAGCGTGATCTCTCAACCTATCTATTTTTGTATGTTGTTAGTCCTCCTTGGATACTTTTTCATGGTGATGTGATCCACAACCTAACAGATTCTGCAAATTTCCCTACAAAAAATGGATCTGCTTCAGTTAGGGATTATGCAATTATTTGGTTGAGTTGCTTACATATCGAAGAGCAAAAGCAGTTTCAGAATATTTGGAGATGGACTATCTCTTCAGATGTGGCCGGCTGTCGGAAATTTGGATATGGAACAATAACTTTTAGAAAAGTAGAAAATAATATTCAAGAGAATATGCATTTTATTTTATTGACACTCCAAAAAATGACTTGTAGAAAATCTTTACAATCACAGGTTTTTTAGGCTTCAACCAACATGAATTTTATCTAATACATGTACTAGCTGCCCCATGGCATATCTCCAAGTGGTAAAAGAGGAAGGTGGAAAAACTTCAACTTTACTTGAGGCTGCCGCGTCAAGGGTTCGAATCCTGAAATATGGATTTGGCCATTGGGTAAGTGCAAGTGTACAAGCAGCCTTCCACCCTGTACTCCTGGAGGCATAACCTGCGATTTACCTTCTTCATCAAGGCCAGGGCAGGTGGGGGTCGGTAAGGATGCGGTTCATCCTTTTTTTTTTAATACATGTACTAGCTATTAAATGAAAACTAACCCCCTAAATAATTAATGTATTTCCCAATTTAATAGTGCATTAATGTGTGAATGAATGATCTCAAAAGACATGAATGAACTCGACTAAATAGATAAAGTTCATATTTTCAACACCCCCTTAATCCCGTTAGACATCCTTCAATTTAATTTATTTTTCATACTTATTTCCAATCACACATTGACATAATAAAATATTTTACATGTAAACTCAAATTTTTTTCCTACTTTTTAACCATATATTCTCCAAAAAATACTATTTAAAATAATGTTTTTTAAATTTTAAGGATGTCAAACAGGGGCTAAATTTCATTTATTGGAACTCCAAGCAAGCTTAAAAAATGCACCAATCTTCAATTGCTTGGTGAAAATGTCTGTAATTTGGTCTTGGGACTTTACGAACTTCAATTTCGTGCATTGTTTGTCTACATAATATCGAACAAAAGATATTTCTTGTCGATATGCTTGCTTAGATCATAAAAAACTGGATTATTGGCCAATAACAATTCTGACTTGTTATCAATAAATTTTTTGGTAGAATCACTTTGTTGCAAATTAACTTCTTTAACAAAATTTGCAATCAAATAGCTTGACAAACACAAGATGCTATAGCAACATACTCTACTTCACAACTTAAAAGTGTAACAATCGGTTGCTTCTTCGACGCCCATATAAAACTCATATCACGCATAAAAGACACATGACTACTCGTACTTTTTTCGATCATCATTATCTCCATCCCAATCACTAGTGCTCTAACCAACAAACTTGAAATCATCAATATATGAATAAAATAAACCATCTCAAATAGTATTTTTTATGTATAGCAAAATTCTTTCCACAGCGTTAAAACGTGTACTTGTAGGAGACTTCATGTATCAGTTCTTGCGCATGTTAAGTACCGCAAAAATCCAGCAATAACCTTATAAAGAGTCGAATCAAATTTCTCTCCTACATCATATTTCGACAATTTTATTCTACAATCAACAAGGTGTAAATTGACTTGCAATCATCCATCTCGAACCTTTCAAGAATTTTGTTAGCATAATATTCTTGAGAGATAAAGATTCCATAAACTCAATGTATGTCATCTCGAATTCTTTTACCATAATTATGTTGAACTCATGTAAAAATTGGACCATCCACATACAAGCAAACAATTTAGACATCACCACTAGTATTCACCTTTTGATAGAGAGTATGCTCATAAGAACATTTGATAAATCCATTAGCTTGAAGAAATTTATCTAGTCTTCAATTCTATGCCCTTAGAAATTGCTTTAAACTATACAAGGCTCTCTCCAACTTCAAAACATTGTCTTCGTGTCTTTTCACATTATACTCAGGACGTTGTAGTATGTATATATCTTCTTGCAGAATTACATTCAAAAATGTCGATTTAACATCCATTTAGTGAATCTTCTAACCATTTTGTGCTGTCATGGACTTAGTCTTATTATTTCAAAATGAGATATGGGTGAGGATACTGTGACATAGTGGACACCATTCTTTTGATTGTAGCCTTTAGCCACCAACCTTGCTTTATAGCATTCGATTCACCATTTGCATTCTTTTTCTTGAAAATCCAT